AAATTCCTATCCCTTCGTGTTCCAGTATTCGTGACACTTGACATTTGACACTGACGTATAAATTGTAGAATTTAGTGAAACCTGTGAGCCGGTGACTCACTCGCGCGATACGCAGATTGCAGTCGCCGCTTGTCCTTCAAGGGTGCGCGGAAATAGCCTGGTTTTGTGGTCACATCCCTCGGATAACTAAAACTAGCCTTTGTGTATCCTCAGTGTCCTTATTAGCTGCGGTGAAAAATGTGAATCACCTGAACATTCGACTAGCGGTTTTGAAGACAACTTGATTAAACAAGATTAAACAAACAAACAAACGCTTTAATCCGATTATACGCGAACTCGTTTTAGCGACCACCACACCAACGACGACGACCACAACACCAACAAGTGCGTTGCAGACATTTGTTTGATTTCGTTGTGTTTTGTTCCGATTATTTTAGTGTTGCACACGACAAATTTCCGTTTGATGCATTCCTTGATTCTATCAGGAATGATAGACTTGTGGTTTTATTTGGTTGAACGTTTCTATCCCAATTTGATGGCCCATTGTTCGATGCGGCCTCCATGGTTCCTCTGCTCTGGTGAATAGGCATACGTGGGTGTGACATATGTTATTTCATTTCATCGATGGTAGTTGTCCACTGGGGTGACATTCTTGTTCAATCTTGTTTGCATGTGGTTGATAGCATCGGAGACAGATGAATGTAGGGTAGGTTGCGGTTGAGCTCGCAATCAGCTGACCCATTTGAGCGATACGCAGATTGCATCGGGAGTCTGAGATTGAAGAATAGGTTGGTTATGTGGCTACACCGTTCAGATATTGGTCCCTGCGCAAATCTTTGTAGTTGTGTGATTAGCGTTTCCTCATCGATTGATGTGAGATGGTCATTGTGGGTTTTGTTGGGTCCACCTCACCCACCTTTCCGTTCGCTATTTATTTGAGATGTTTATCAGGAAAAAGTGCATCATCTAAACAATTGAATAACCGGTTATCCAACACCTAGCGGTTAGCAACAACCGTTTTTGACATCATCTAAACAATTGAATAACCGGTTATCCAACACCTAGCGGTTAGCAACCAACAACCGTTTTTGATTGTATTTTATGCGAACTCGTTTTAGCGACCACCACACCCACGACAACGACGACAAGTGCGTGTCACACGTTCACTGATTTCGTTGTCTTTTCTGTTTCTGTTTCCTTTTCCGCCTCCGTTTCTGTTCATTCTTCCGTTCGTTCGACGAATTTACACCCCGAAATGTCTTTTGTCTAATCTCCTGTGATGGCAGGTGTGTGATCGCAGTGCTTTTTGTCTGGATGTTATTGGAAATGTATAGGGTTCACGTGAGCGTCACCTATCATGTGATCTCGGAGCAGTATGGCATGGAGTTCAGTCGTGCTCTCGATGAACGGAAGTTCGTGGAGTCGGTGCTGGCCACAAATATCCAGTTAGGGTATTTCGAATGGAATATTTGCCTCTGCTCTTGTGGGAGTACTTACATTGCACAGTCAGGATCTAGGAGTTCGTTCAGGTTGGGGCCACATGTATCTGGCATAAAAATAATCGAATTTCGGTGCAGTAAGCCAGTTACGTTTTGAGCAGGGGCAGAATTTCTCCTGGTTGAGATTTTTCATTCTTTGCAACGTTTTATATGTTGGACTCTATCACAATTCCTGTGTGATTTGTTTTACTGATTGCCTCTTATTTGGGTCTGTCTTGTCTAGCGCACGTGTCATTTTATGGCTTCTTACGCATCTGGGCTACTTTGTTTATCTCTGCACGAACTGATGGTGTTAAGGTGATATTTACGCGTTTCATTTACTGAAATCTCTCCTAAACTTTCGCGGTGTTTATTCACAGACCTTGTTGTTGTTCATCAGCCTCCCGTTTCCGACGTACCCCGTAACCAGTGTTTGTAGCAACGTTGAATTAAACGCTTGGACAAATTGACGAGCCTGACAATGAGTAATACTAAACCGCATTGTACCCATGGTTGTGTGTATTCTAGGGAGTTACCCAATCGCCAGGGCTGTCTGTTCTACGAGATACCTGGACTTCCCTGTTATCCCGGACGCAACATACCGCACCCGGTGTTCGAAAACTTTCGTGACCCGGGCCGGATGTGTACGGGCGATGGCAGATCGCATTTCGATCACAGCTTCGCACAAGCTGCCCCGTGACACAACGTACACTCAATAATTTAGAAGAGTGTATCTGGCATAAAAATAATCGAATTTCGGTGCAGTAAGCCAGTTACGTTTTGAGCAGGGGCAGAATTTCTCCTGGTTGAGATTTTTCATTCTTTGCAACGTTTTATATGTTGGACTCTATCACAATTCCTGTGTGATTTGTTTTACTGATTGCCTCTTATTTGGGTCTGTCTTGTCTAGCGCACGTGTCATGTTATGTCTTCTTATACATCTCGGCTACTTTGTTTGTCTCTCCTAACTTTTCCCGGTGTTTGTTCTCTCACCTTCTTGTTCTGCATCAGCCTGCCCTTTCTGGCTGTAGCTGCAACCAGTGGTTGAAGCAACCTTGAACTAAACGCTTGGACAACTTGACTAGTCTCTCACGCATGGCCATTGGTAATGCTAGACTGTATCGTATCCATGGTTGCCTGTACTTCAGGGAGGGATCCTATCACCAGTGCTGTCTGTTCTACGCGGTGCCTAGGCTTCCATGCTGTCTGAGACGTAACACATCTCTAATTCTGACCGATGGCCGATCAGAATTTGTTGGTAGCGTGAGGAGATTTGGGTTTTTGGAAGAGATTTCGTCATCTAAGTGACACCAATCCTTTCTAAAAAGCCGAGAAGCATTGTACAGCTGTTTCAGGCTTATCGGGAATCATCGGCTGGGAGCATCTCATGAAACCCCGAAGACTCTCGAACCCGCGACGACCTGACTAATAGTTTGAACACTTAACCCTTCGGCCACGAGTGGCTGATCAGCAGTGCGAGTAACTCGCACTTGGACACGATATAGCGCCGCTCAAACTTCAATCACCTGATTCACACCGGCTGCACGAGCAACGATTTTAGATCGGAATTTGACCACAGCTTTGCACAAGCTGCGCCGTGACACGACGTACACTCGAAAGTTGTGGGAGAATTTAGAGGAGTCGTTTGGTCTAACCAGAGAGACTAGTTGAATTCACGGTGCAATATGTATTGTATTGCTAGCAATGAACCTCGCGCATCCGGGCAAAACGACACACCCACAATCCAACCAAGTAGAATGTCTGTCCCGTCTCGCGCATGTTATTGCTAGCAATGAACCTCGCGCATCCGGGCAAAACGACACACCCACAATCCAACCAAGTAGAATGTCTGTCCCGTCTGTTCACGCGCATGTTAATTCACACCTCGAGAGTCCACGATTGGTTTGCCATTTTTGTGGCTCATGAAGGTGGCGCGGTTCCTTGGACTCCGTGAGAATTATGTGCTACCTAAAAAAAATTGGCCGGATTTCGGGTAGTACTCTCTATGAAATCATACAGCGATATCTTGAATATCGCACTGAATGACTGAAACATGAGCTGACGTTTGTGCAACAAACTCAGTAAACGAGAAATTCAGTTGGGTCTTCCCGGTGTATAGACACATTCATATGCAAGCGAGTGATTGCTACTTAAAAATCTTTGTACACACATCTAGGTATTCAAGGGTCAACCCGAGAAATTTTGTGGTAGGCTAGTCAGGATCCTCTCCCTGTGCGGTTGATTACTCAATTTCATTATGAGTCTTTGAGCAAATGCATGGTGCAGCACCAGTGTTGCCATCTGGTGTTGCCGCCAGTGAGGATGACGATGACAGTGATAATCTGAAATGGTGACCACTATCCCTGACCTATCTGAGTGGCTAATACAGGATCGGTATGTTTCATAAAAGCACGTAGGCCGACGTACGCGACACCCGGCTGATATACGTGCTGCTAGCGGCGCAGAAGCCTCTGGATTCGACTTAACAGGCTCTTGCACCATCATCTCATTGTTTGGGTAGTGCGTTTCACGTTTTGTACTTCGTATAACATTTCAACTCGGAAGGAAACTACTAAAGATTACGCCGTCTAAGGTTGAGAAATTCAGGTTTTTCAGTTCCGGCTTGTTTTCGGGAAACAACCTTTTGATTGCATCTCATATACACCCATTTCAGCGACTACTACACCCACGACGACCACAACACCAACAAGTGCGTCGCAGACGTTAATTTGGTTGTTTTGTTTGTTTCAGTATTGTTTCAGTATTGCACCTGATGAATTTTCCTTTTGAACCATGTTCCGTTCCGTTTCGTCTCGGACATCAGACATGCGTTTATGTTTGGTGGATAGTTTGACCAAAGTTTCACACAACTTCTCGATGTAGACCCCCTGTTTTGGGAGGCGGGTATGGGCGGATGTGAGATTCTTCGCTGCCGCAGAAACGTCACCCTTCACGGTAGTGAAATTCCTATCCCTTCGTGTTCCAGTATTCGTGACCCTCGACATCTGACACTGACGTATAAATTGTAGATTGTAGTGAAACCTGTGAGCCGGTGACTCACTCGCGCGATACGGAGATTGCAGTCGCCGCCTGTCCTTCAAGGGTGCGCGGAAATAGCCTGGTTTTGTGGTCACATCCCTCGGATAACTAAAACTAGCCTTTGTGTATCCTCAGTGTCCTTATTAGCTGCGGTGAAAAATGTGAATCACCTGAACATTCGACTAGCGGTTTTGAAGACAACTTGATTAAACAAGATTAAACAAACAAACAAACGCTTTAATCCGATTATACGCGAACTCGTTTTAGCGACCACCACACCAACGACGACGACCACAACACCAACAAGTGCGTTGCAGACATTTGTTTGATTTCGTTGTGTTTTGTTCCGATTATTTTAGTGTTGCACACGACAAATTTCCGTTTGATGCATTCCTTGATTCTATCAGGAATGATAGACTTGTGGTTTTATTTGGTTGAACGTTTCTATCCCAATTTGATGGCCCATTGTTCGATGCGGCCTCCATGGTTCCTCTGCTCTGGTGAATAGGCATACGTGGGTGTGACATATGTTTGACTATTTCATCGATGGTAGTTGTCCACTGGGGTGACATTCTTGTTCAACCTTGTTTGCATGTGGTTGATAGCATCGGAGACAGATATGTTGAATGTAGGTTGCGGTTGAGCTCGCAATCAGCTGACCCATTTGAGCGATACGCAGATTGCATCGGGGGTCTGAGATTGAAGAATAGGTTGGTTATGTGGCTACACCGTTCAGATATTGGTCCCTGCGCAAATCTTTGTAGTTGTGTGATTAGCGTTTCCTCATCGATTGATGTGAGATGGTCATTGTGGGTTTTGTTGGGTCCACCTCACCCACCTTTCCGTTCGCGCTGTATTTGAGATGTTTATCAGGAAAAAGTGCATCATCTAAACAATTGAATAACCGGTTATCCAACACCTAGCGGTTAGCAACCAACAACCGTTTTTGATTGTATTTTATGCGAACTCGTTTTAGCGACCACCACACCCACGACAACGACGACAAGTGCGTGTCACACGTTCACTGATTTCGTTGTCTTTTCTGTTTCTGTTTCCTTTTCCGCCTCCGTTTCTGTTCATTTAATCGAGTTTCACTCCTGAATGTCTCTTGTGTTATCTCCAGGGACAGTAGCTTTTTGATCACCTGCTATTAGTTTTCATTGGGAACGGATCAAGTGTTATATTATTGGGGATATATATTTTCAGATTTTCTTTTTTTCGTCGTCTTCTCGGTGCGATGCAGCCTCGGCTTGAGTACTGATCTGTGTCTCCGCTTTCACAACATTCCTCAGAGATTAATCATGGTACGAGGTTCTCGTGCTGTCATTGCTTGTGTATTGTTGTTTGCGAGAACCTTAGTTCGTCGAACGCCCATGAGTATGCTTTGTTTTCACTGTCTCATAAAGTGACTGCGCTTTTTATAGTAGGACAACAAGTTCTTTTTAGTTACTTTCGTCGATCAGTGTTATTTTATTTTAGCTTTCCTTCATGTGCGGGTTTCGCACACTTTGAGTCGCTTAGTTTTTGATTTCGAATGCCCGCTTCCTTATCAATTATGCGCTCTGTGTTTGCTGTACTGGTGAAACGTATCCAGTGTCTTTGATTGTGACCTCCTAGTGAACGGCAATGAGCAGTCTACGAGTTTTGCGCAATGTTTCTATGCTCTCTCAATTCCTTTCGAGCATTTTGCAAGCTGAATGGTGGAGATATTCGTAAAGATAGGTAAGGTAAATTTTCTAGGCAGCAACCCCACCCAAGAACTGCATAAACGGCGGTGAACACTTTCAAGAAGGAAAAATTATAAAAGCAGCTAAGCTTGGATGGAAATAAATTGTCGCTTTATACGGCGACAAATCGCCCAACTAGCCAGCGCGGGGCACCGAAAAATGGATAAGCTAGTCTATTCCCTACGCATTTCACGTTTCCCTTAGCCATATGAAAGCATAGTTGGAAGCGAGTTCCTTGTTTGAATGGCCAAAATGCGTAAACCATCGATACGGAGTTATGCAAGTCAACCAGCAGACTACCAAAGGACCCCTACAAACCGGTTTTTCAGCGACTCACCCTCCTGTTGAACAGGATCCGAAGTTAGCGAAATACACTCATTTGCAAACAAATTTGGTTTTGCGAGAGTTCCAGCTGAATCTCTCATCTGTGATGTTTTTGGGCTCTCGCAAAACAAAATTTGTTTGCAAGTAAGTGTATTCCGCTAATTTGGTGCAGTTCGGGTTCAAGTAGAACACATGGTTGACGGAAACTCGAGAACTGTGTCTATCTGATGAGCCCCCAAGAGGAGCGAAACCGATCGTGGGCTGTCGACGAATTTTCGGTAAACCATGACCAGTGGATTACGTCTATACAAGGATACCCAGTCACACATATTGACAGTTCCTTTTTTCTGGTTTTTGTTTTCACCAGGAGATGGGGTGGTTTTGGATAACTGTATTCCCTTTTCAGCAAAGACGACCGCTTGGCCAACTAATGCGTATCAACCATTCACTGATTCTATTTTGTGTCGTGTCCAACTTCGTTCACGAGTGTGAGCGACCAATTTCTGTTCTAAATCTTCTCTTGCTTTCATTCGTGACGGTAGTTTTCCGCCCACACTTCTGCAAAATATTTTTCTTCCCTTTGGCATGCATGTCAAAGCAGAACAGCGGAAAACGTTTCTTAGAAGGGACAAATCGCGCGTATCCTTCCTAGTAGCGTTTTCTTATCAGCATATGGCCGATTTGTGTTTTTAGCAAGCACAGTGTTTATGGAGGTGCTTCATGCCACGCTCGGTCAGTCATTTTACGGTTGACCGTGCATCTCCCGTTCGTGTAGAAACTTGCATGTTCCACCTAAACCTTCAGTGTGTCCATGTTTATAGACCAGAAACGCTGCTCATTTTCGAACGGTGCTAACCTCCTCTGTTAACATTATGTACGCAACGTAATATCCCAACTATGAGAGAGGTAAAACGAGGAAACTAGTGTTCTTGAACATATTCATTAAGTTCGTTCATCAAATCACGGTGTGATATGGTACCACTACGGCAGAAGAGGTTTCGACCGAGAAAAAAAGGTATGTTGAAACTCGCGAATTACACTTGCCAACTAAACTAATTTGGTTCTTTCGAGAGACTCACCAGGAACCGAGCAGAATCTCTCGTTTATGATGTTCTCAGGCAACTGAATGTGCTGCACCAGGCCGCCTCGTGTTTCAGTCGCTACGATATGAGTAGTACATTACAACTATATATGTCGAAACTCCTTTATTCGGTTTTTATATCATTTCAAAAGTTAGAGCATTCACTACTAAGAAGACACCTCTGTCATGCATTTCTCGTGGACTGAGCTCGTCATTCTTTTCATCACCCATGAAGTTTTGCTTGAATTCACGGATTCTCTTCAGACAATATCAGTCAGCCATGCTTCAGATTGTTCCAGCATTATTTGTTTATTCAATAACAGTCATCTGATTTTGCACTGATTCACGTATCCAAAATTTCGGTTCTAGAAGTTTTCTTTAAAATTGTGTTCTGTGGAAAATGCATTCGTTTTGATTGCGCGAACACAAAATCTGGTGCTACGCTTAAATTTTAGTGTCTGGCAAGGTTATAAATTACAGACCATAGGATGCCGTTTCGGTTCCAAAGCACATCGGATATGTATGTTGGGCGACATACTGACGACCAGTTACCAGCCAATTCCGCCAAGCAAAAACCACGAGCGCGTCCTCAAATGCATCTCAATGTTGCTACCCGAGAGTTCCTTCCCACCTAAACATTTGAGTTTTCCTCTCCAGTTGCATACATGCTCCGGTCTTTTTAGCGTTTTGTTCANATGCTTTTGTGAACAGTGACAGTTGGTTCCAAACCTCAGGGATATGTTATTTCCTTCAATCGATTTGTTATGGATACGCCTTAGAAGACTGTCCACCAGAAACGGCTTAGATTTCGTGGGCCACTTTTCGGTTGATCTCTGACCTTCTCCATTAAATTTGACTGCACCAGTAATCTGACCTGATATCCTGCTCATTTTTCTCGATAAACTAGTTTTCGGTCGCCTTAATCGTCAACTGCAATTTTGCCACACACACACATTCAGTCATCCGTCACTCACAATAGCATGACCGTCTCTACTAGTCTGTTTGATACTCGAATGCAACAAGCACCACAACCGTTTCGTTGCATTCGCTTAGTGTAGCAAACACATTCCTTCTTGAATGCGATTCAGTTTGGTTTTTATAAGGGTCAACTTGGTTTGACTGACTCGTTTTTTATTTTATTCGCGTCCATGCACGCTCTCTCTCTCTCTCTCTTGATCCAGAATTTCCTGCCTAGATTAATTTTTCTAGAACAGTTAAGCCATTTTGTACATCCACGTCTCTTTTTCTAAGTACCCTAGTAGAACAAAGTGCCCTTTCGTTCCAAACTCCACACATTCCTTGTCAGTGCTATCTGAAAAGACATCCTCAACTAAGTGAATTTATTATGGGAATTTTTTCAATGGACCTTTCAGGTCAATCAGACCTTTTTTTAAGTGGAAAAAAATTTGTGCTAACCAACTAGTGAAAACTCGGGTTTAGAACAGCGTGCTTCTCATCTGCTATGGTGGTCGCAAGATGTCAACAGGAGTTCTCAACAGGTCCCCAGCAGGGATGGCTACATGATACTCTACATGATTAATCAATAAGTTTATAGGACTCAATCGATTTAACATTGCTTACGCAGATCTGTTAGCCGTTTGAAAACGCCAGCTTCACACGATACTACCCGAAGCCTTGAACTTTGTCGTGACAGGTGGAGTAGGATATCAATTCCTACTACTGGGGTCAACAGCTTGAAACAGCGAGCCAAACCATTCGGGTGATTGATTCGTCCTATCTCTCTGGATGATGCCCAGCAAAGATGGAAGTCCTCAGTTTCCCGAGCTTCTTGATGTCTGGTTACCTGTTTCAATTTGATTTACGGTTAGTAGTCAGACTCGTGGTTCATGTGTTGTTGGATCCAAAAAGATGACGATCGGTTGGTTAAATAAACTGCATTTTCACCGAACGATTAGACCTTTTAGCTGAAATGTAATTCGATGGTTTCATAAACAATGGAGCTTACCGGAATTCAGCCAAGGGACTCTATTCGAGAGTCCTTCCGATGAATATGGTCCTCAAGCTTCAATCAATCATTCGCCTTACCCGTTTGGCCTATTTTCCAAGTGTTTCAGTTACAGCTTCGATTGACGCTACCGATATCGGATATCCGAAAGGTTAGTGAATAATCTATGTTACCGAGCACTTGGGTAGTCACGTACATGGGCGAAGCCTGCGTAAGTTTCAGGCAAAGCTCGAAACGTATAGATATGCAAACACGTGAATTTGGGAGAACTTACCGCTGGGTTTTTTCACTGGCTAGTCAAGTTGCGAAATTCGAAGATGATCGACAATCGCATCCGTTATATCGGTTTCACATGTGTCCGATCATCGCGTCAAGTTCAGAATTTTCATTGGATTTTCGAAAGTTCAGAGCAACGTGCTACTTTCTTTTTCCACGGTTCTATTCATGCCACTCCATGCGTTTCCATAATCAAGGGGTTTTACCCTCCCGCTCGGTGACTACTCACAATTTGTCTATTGTAAACACGTTTTCCGAAAACTGGAGGAAGAAGAAATTTTGAAGACTCTTTATGGCCGTGTAGCGGTGGCTAAATTTTTACGGATCCAGTTGAAATACTTTTCACACAGCTCTATTTTAGTCGGCTATCCCTTCCCGAAGACAAAAAGGCTTTGATATGGTGTGTGCCAGGGAATCCAAAGGGCACGCCAACCTCTGAGGACTTGGGCGCATAAAAAAGTCAGCGACTAAAAACTCTTCGACGTCCCACTACCGGTTCCGCCTTTCGTGAAGCTTATCAGGTAGGCGAAGTCCCCGAGTCTCCGTCAGACGTATGTTCTACTTGAATCAAAATTGGATCGCATTCCACAATTACTCTCATTTGCAAGTCACTTTTGTTTTCACGGGAGACTCAGCTGGATTCCTCGTTTATGATATTCCCCCCTTCAACCCCCCTATGAAAATATACTGCGAGATATCAAATATCGTGCCAACGGAAACATGAGGCGGCCTGTGTGTATCACATTCAGTTGAAGGAAAGCATAGTCGAGAGACTCAGTTGAGTCTCCCGTGGAAATGTAGTTGATTTGCAAATGGGTGTATTTGTCGAAGTCGGTGACTACTTTATATCAAAAGGAATATGAATTCGACGAAAATGTGCCTTTCACCTCCTGGAAGTTCATTTACTTTCGTCAAGTTTATCTCTTGGTCTTTAACTTCACTATCTCTTGGATCATTGTCGTGTAGCAGACAGGGATTTGAAGTGTCCGAGCTTTGACGTTTACATCACTCTCAATTGAACGGTTCTAAGCTTCTCCTGGTGCGCCCAATCAATTGAAGCCGGTAGATTTGATTCAGTAGGCTAGATTCTTGTTTAAACCTTTTTTAAATTAATGGATAAAATGGTTTCCAATCATCAACGTTAGGTGTATAAAGTCCTTCAGGGCAAAAGTCCTGTACATTAGAGTTGCGGCGAGTCTCGGTCCTGCAGAATGTTGTAAAATTTGCTCAGTTTTTATTTGATAATTAAAAAGCTGAGCGAAGTTGAGTTAGACTTAAGATAATTGAAGAGTGTTGAATCTTTGGTCCTTCCACTGTGTCCATCTATCTGTGTCCAGCTATCTTCAGATTACCAAATTAAATGGATCACTAGCTATTGTTCTGCAAGGTAAATCAATGCTTTTTGTTAAAAAAATTCCTGGTTTAACAAATACTGACTCGACAGCCTCCATCCAGCTGGTACTTGCGCTATGACGCTGAAATCAGTCGGTTCCTAAACCACATTCAATTTTCATTCCATCTTTTATCGCTTACAGTGGAATGAAAACAAACAGATAGTATCATTCTGTGGGGAATGTTTCCAGGTGAAACTCTAGTAATTTTCACGAGTATCAAATCCATTAACTAAAGGCTATATTGGCTTGAGCGCGCCTGCGGTATTAAGTACTCATGACATCAAAACGACATCATCCTGGCAATCAAGATCATTGCCTGGAGTGGTCTTTTTCTAGCCTCAGCTAATAACAGCCTCTTACTTTTTTCATTCCAGCAACTACTCCTGCAGCACCAAGTAAGGAAATGTGTCTATATTTTTTCCTCTTGTTTTATGTTTTCGAAAAGGATACGTTAGATTGGAGTAAAGGACAGCGACAGTACGTGTCTAATTTGGTAGTGAGAACCTGACAATAGAACAAATCCGAATTCATCAGTGCTGACGGGCAGCGAATGCGAATATCAGTCTCTTGTTAAAATGGTCCACTTTTTTGTGAGGGGCACCCTCTGTGTGGAGTTATATTGTCGGACGTTGTTATCGGTACAACTATTTTGTCCGCCTGTACTCATCGGTTCTGTGAACGTAGACTATTCTCTGTTAAAGTAATTTGCAAGCGGCTAGGGGAATTCGAACATTCCTGATTGGCTATTTCTTTTCAAAAATTCAATGAGTATCCTCGGTGGTCGTGTCAACTGGCTGCCAGCTGCCAGACGTACCGAGGCGTCCATGCCATCGATTGTCCTAGACCACATAACCGTGGATTTCTAATTCTGTGAGGAAAACTGCCCCATCCACTCAGCCTGTCCGAAACTCTTGATCATGGCTGCTAGAATCAGCCATATATATATCTTATAAGGTGAGTCCATAGCTTCGCATGGTTCGGTAGTAAGAGAACCCGAACACTGGTTTCTCTGAATGTGTAACAGATAGACATGTGAGCATCACTGAGCCAATAGAAGTAAACAGGTATTCGACCGCGGCTGGCACCACTGCTCCGATGATGAAGTTTCCACCCTTGACAAAAAAGATGTCGGCATGCAGCAGTCTAGGCTGGAACGATCAATTGAAGAGCATGATGGACATGTGTTGGCCGGTTTCAGTGGTTAAAAAGTACAAGATCTGTGATAAGATCACATGTGATAGGCATGTGAGATAACTACCTAAATATATGTTTGGTTTTCTACAATACCTCGCAATCTAGTTTACGGTGCACGTCAGTAGTGAATGGTTCTTGTCCATTTTTTCAGGCGAACTAGACACTTGCAAAACTGCAACTTTCTCTACAAAGGTGAAGTGTGCCAAATAGGAATTACATTTCCGTACATAAAGATACAGTTAATCCCGTCACCAATACTCCAAAGATATCATTAACCGGCATTTGGATTCAACGCAACCAACTATTTTCAGCTTAGAAACGGCCAATCTGCAATGAAGACTTTGTATCGTGGATGACGTTAAGCCATACTGAAATACCGCACAGCTATTTCGTTCCATTGAGAAACATCAGCGGTGAGCGTTCAGGGAGTTTAGAAACTTTTACCTCGTGACTACTGGTTTGAACGATTTAACTTTTGCTCGCAAGTGACTGATAAGCAATGTGTTTAACTAGTATTTAGACAGCACCATTCGTCCCCAGATCACGTGATTCCCATCACATGGACATATGTCGGTGACTACTCCGCAAATACAGTGTGTTCAGAAGTTTTGTGGATCACTCTTCCTACTGAGCTACTTATGGGGCGAAACTAGTTTTGGAAATTATCAAATTTCCTAATACTTCCAACAGACTCACGGAATGGCAGGAGTTTGAGGCTGTACACGACCTTTATATATTCAATCCAAGAGTCTCACGTTGTGATCAAGAGCTCATGGCAACTCCATATTTACTTAGAGGGAACACACACTAGGTTGTGGCGTGATCATTAGGTTTATTCACACTTTTTAGAAGACAGTTCTGTCGGCCGAGATGCGTTACCGCCCCTGTATAACAGTTACTACACTAGGTCATGATGTCACAATGAAAAGGATATGGAGCTTTTGCGAAGCCTCTCTTGGAATGGATTGGGAGAAGTCGGATTCTAGGCATTCTGGTGTCTGCCCTGTTCTGCATCACCGCAAAATTGACTCACATGGTGTGAAATTATTCGTACTGTATCAGGTAGACAGTGAACCACATGACGGCCTGATGGCTTCTTCATCTTTACCTCATGAGGAATCACAACAGATCATTTTCAACTTTTTGCGAAAGTACAAAGGCGCTCCAGGAGAGTGTCTCATCTGGACTCCAAAGAGACAAATTTTCAACATGGTTGATCAGTTTGAATTCACCCGAAAATCGAATTACTGCATAAGGTTAAGACCACGCACAACACATGTCAATGATTGATTATGTTGTTGTACGTGGGCTACCGATTTCAGCGTGGTTCAATAACGATGAAGAGTAGAGCCTTGGTGAGATCTGACAGCTGCCTGAGTATGACATCAGCGTCTATTGCTGTGATTGGGCCAAGTTTATATGGAGCTTTTTGACTGAAAATGAGCTTCAATCATAACACATCTATTGCAGTACTCAGTGCTTTTTGTTAAGAGAGATTTCGACTAGATCGTTGTTGAGCTCAAAATGGACTGACCGCCCCTATATTGATTATTATTATAATTTGTGTTCCTTGGTATCGCAGCAACCACTCTGCCGTCATTTGAAGAGGTCGTCACTGTCCCGACAACTCCACCACCTGAGCCTACCTATCCGCTTCCAGTTGAATCACTTCAAGGTGAGCTGAGCGCCTCAACTCTGTTTCATACCAAAAACGTAGTGGTTGAGTAGTCTGAGACCATACAAACTCGCATGCAATCCCTTCTCTGTATCACAGATGTTCGGTACACGAGCACGGCCAATCATTATTGGACATTCCGAGAAACGGTTGATCAACCATGGATCAAGGATGAAGCACCACACCAGAATCCTCTCAGCCGAGCAGTGTATGAGAGATTCCACAACTTTGACAGTAAGCTCACTAAGGAAGGACCAATTCGGGACGATATAGACAATAAGGAGGAGTCTATTTTCTTCCCATTGGATGGTCCGACCGGGACGCCGAAAGGAATCATGCTCCAGGATGCACTCACGCCTGGACCAGATAGGAGTATCATTTTGACTCCGAATACCGCGGAGTCTCAATGCGTTAAGCTTGTTGAGAACCTGCAACGTGAGCGTTACTACCTGAAGCAATGTCTACTTTCCGCTGAAGCTTGTGACTATGGACTGAGTTTGGCACTCTGGCTCCAATTTCTTAAAACGGATGCGACATCCAAAGAGATCATCCTGGCAACCGGTAAGATCTTGTTACGCAAGCATCGAAACCCCCTTTGCTGAGAGTTCGGCACTCCGTTAATTTCGTCCAAAGAGTTTTATGCAAACTTTCAATCACCACTGAGCCACATGAAGAAGATAACGTGGTTCTGAGCGATGCTCACCAATTTTGAAATTTAGAACAAATTTAGGTAAATAGGAAGACATCGTATGCTTCCACTAATTATGTACCATTCTGAAAACTATCATGCAGAATTGACCCGAAATTGATCTTATCTGCGATATTTCCAGTTAACCTAGTTTCAGCCAAGCTTCTTGATTCAACTTTTACTTCGAAACACACCTAAAAAAAACCTCGCAACTAATCTTAGATGGCCCAGCATCAGGGCACTGAGTTGTTTGAAACAGAGAACAAGCTACCTGCGCTTCAACGCCTCAGAATGAAGTGCCGTTCACTATGACCATCCCATGACTTCCAAAAAACAACTTTGTTGTGAAATCACCACTGTTGCAAAAGAAAGGACCCTTTGGTGTGGGGATTCACTCTCCCGCAAAAAAAAAACGATAAGAAGTTGGGCTCCTTCCAGGATTGATATTTCGATGTTATCAGGATGACCTAGGACAGCGTTGTATATGCGGACTTCAAGGCGCATCTTTGTTCGTCTTTTCTAACACAAAAGTGCTAATTGGAGGTTTCATAGAAGCAGTACTGGTAGGAAAGGCCTTCGCCAATCTACCTATGAACGCCAATGCTCGTACAGTCGGCCTAGGATAAAAAATATTATAATCTTTCCCTGTGGACATATGTAGGCTAATTTGAGATCGTCTTTTTTCAGCAAGCTTCCTATAGTTCAACTCGCTTTCATGGCCTGATCAAACTTCAGCATCTTGTTATTGTTGGAGAGATCTGGGGAGATCTCGAGACGAAAAGTCCGTTCACACCTAGCATCAGCTGAAGGACAAGCTTATAGGGTGGGGAGAATAAGTCTTGAATTCCCAGCACATACGTGCGACAGAGCTGCCGTCATCGGTAGGTACAGCAAGTGTCCGGTGAGCTGGCGGTCAGTGGTTACCCCTCCAGTCCAAAACCTGTCTTCCGCTCATGCTTCGTGTACTTGGAGTTTCCGTTTCAGGATCCCTACTAATGGTGAAAAGGAAGGAGGCCTCAGCTGCGGAGCTATTTATTAGGAAATCCCAAATGACCATTTAGACTATTGGACAGGGAAGCAAAACTCTCATATGCATTTTGTTTACAAAAACTGAATATCCAACTTCTCCTTGAACGCGTCTCCCTGAACTTTCCTGGATATTCATCGACTGTTGCTCAAATCCAACCAACTGCTACAAATTGACTCCACAAATTCCGTAATAGATCTCACTTTTCAAGAGAGACAAAGCGGATTTATGATAAAACATACTACTTGCCTTCCCTCCCGTCAGTAGTATCACCGCTACACTGGTATGTTACTAAATTCGCAACAAACCGATAAAGCCTATGTCGGACTTGTGTCCCAAGAAGGCTTGGGAGACACTATGTGGCTAATACCGGTGAGAGGCCTTATTGTGTTTGAGAACTAAAGAACGATTTATATGCAAAACATAGTCCAGTTCAAACCAGTTATTCAGCTCCAAACATAAAATATTTGCTGTAGTTTTGGTCACCGGAAAATAGGAGAACATGAGAGATATAGTCGAGTGTTGTACGCAAGGGATTGATGAGTTAATTCAACAAACTAAGCAGCCATGTTTTGAAAGCGATAGTATTGATGCGCCAGCTTTGTTGGCTGGGCCACTGAGCCATCAAAGAGAAAGAATAATTTTGAAGATGCATCTAAAATGCGATAAAAAGAAGTTTAAACAGAACTATTCGGTTAGCCTACTGGAAACCAGTGCTGGCATGCAAATAAAATGGATTCATGGGTCACGTGACCACCCGGACCTGGTTTGTGGGGAGACATAACAAAATTATGAGTAGTAGGGTGACAGGTGGCCTCTCAATCTCCTTGATAAGCCACGTATATTACATTTACACTCTGTCACGAAATGGTTCTCTCGTCTTTGGTTTGAAGTGTAAGGAAATGGAAGGAAATTCTGCTGATACAAAAGTTCAAAACACCTGGTGTTCAAACACCTGATGTTCAAAAACCTGATGAGCCCCAAGAAGGACGAAACCGGTCGTGGGCTGTCGAGTTTTCAGCAACCTTATGAGTAGTAAATTACAAAAGTCCAAAACAGTGTTTCTGATACCGGACCACTTTTGAGGCCTGGTGCCTAACCGTGGATGCCGTTTCAGTGGTCTGACATCGCATATTAATTCATTAGTCATGAAGCTCGAGCGCGTGAACGTGACAAGGAACAAGCACCCTCTGCAACTAAGCTTGTGAGGCACCGGGCTGGTAGGCAAAGTGTTGGCGGTCCGATATTTTGTTTTGGATCAAAACACTTTCACTTGACCGTCTCATTAAACCCTGTGTAATGCAAACAGTTTCCTCCCCCCACTCGATGAATTTACCTCTCACCGTTCACCCGCATGTTTTTCAATAGATTCCACATTATTCGTTTGTAGGACCTGAAACGGCGCGTGGCTTTCAACTGTATTTAAGCGCTGGTGAACTACACTTTACTCTGTGGACGCAACGGGTAAAGTGGTCCATAAAAGCCCCCTTCCAGAAGACACCCTCCGAATGGGTCAACGTTGGTGTTTCTTGGGGAAAAAGCACACAAATGCTTCAGGTAATCTAAATTGTTTTTTTTTCGGACGATGTTTACTTTATTTTAAGTATTGCCTTGCGCGAATATACCAGTTGAGTTACCAGTTTGAGATCACTGCAAAGATGAGAAACAAAAATCCGAAGTCTGCATCTGTGCAACAACCTGTCACTTGCAAACTCGGCAAACGCCGTACGATTTAATTTAATTAGTCGAGCCAGTAGGACAAATGATAAGTCCGTACCATCTGGTGACAAAGACTTCCTGAACCCCAAAGGCATACAGAATACTTTCATCCATAGAACAAACCCACCGGATTCAGAAAACTGAATGGCACGAAGCTCTTCAGCAGGTCTGCAAGCACCATACAACTAGCTGGAGGCAGAAGTTAATTGAATTGCTCACATGACCATTCAGGCGTCCGTGTTGAATACTTCAGTATGTCGGCCAATACGGAAAGAGCCATCTCAAAAGTCCTTCATTTAAAATAGATGTTTCATCATTTAATTGTCAAAGTGACCTGAGTGAGGGTTGAATCTTAGTACCGTCTATGTGACCCGGATGGATGTAGCGTGCGTTCTTCGTTAAAATTTAGAAGTTCCTTGTATGGGTTCATTTGTTTATTTATTTGGAATGTTGAAAATTGTACAATTGTCCCTTTCTCACGATACAAAACATTAGGTGAACGACATTTGTTCCTACACTGTACATTCAGTTAACGCAACAGAACTCAAGGTTGCCAATGTGTCGAACGGGCCAATAAAATTACAAGACGTGCGCATGCCAATTAGCCAACTACATGAGAGGATATAGGATGCTCTTCGAAATCTATATAAATGCAGGGCGGTAAGAAGGAGGTACCATCTCATCTGCGCATTGACGCTGTCCCCTCAACTATTAACCAAACGTTCGCAAGCTAATTGCCAAGCTCAGCGAACAGATCAACGGTCATCTAATCAACCACCAGAACTCATGATCAAACGAATCTTTGACTTACGGGGTGCAAGGAGTGACCATCTTTTGAAGAAAACCCATCATCAACTGAGAACAGTGGGCGTTTGAAAATACCTGAAGAAAGACTTCATCACCATATGTTTCAAACAAAATTTTGGTTTTGTAGTGCTTGCTTCTGTCTAGTAACCTGTCAGGTAGACGGAATTCCGGCCCTGGTGTCAGTGTTCTTTGAATCTAACTTTTGTCCTGTCTGAGCTAGCGCCGTTCGAAGCCCTTACTCCAGTGTCGACACAAGACAAAACTTGTTTGAATCTCCTTACAGCTTCTTATCAACCGGAAAATTGTGGCTCAAAAAGCGAACTACCTCGGAGAAGAATACTTTGGTACCAACGAGGATGCGACATCATTATGGCTTGGATGCACCGTGGATGGGAGTGGCGTACAGCAGCATGAAAGTTCAACGCTTGGTGTGAAAATTTCAACAGTCACACTCTGGTACTGGCCGTTACAAAAGTCCCAACTTTTCACCGGTGGACTGGGTAAGATACACGACAGTATTGGCCTTAGCCTCCTTGTCTAGGTTTAATAAGCCGATCTCTATACGAAAAGTCATCTCTTCTATGAAGAGTGTGTGCCAGTGAGGAGACACAAACTAGTCCGGCTATAAGAATTTCGTTAGACGAGATAGAGCATTTTGGAGCACGCAGCACGTACCAAAAGAAAACGGTTCAAAGTGACCAAACTACTTTGTTTCGAGATAACAGAGGCGACAGAATTCCATCCCATCGTATCACATAGAAAATTCCTTCCATCCTTCCAACGTTCCTGATGTGGTTCGTCAACCGTCTGTCAGTAACATGCAGTTCTTTCTTGACCAAAAATTCGAAAACCCTACTCTTCTCATCGGTCTAACTGCGATTAGTTGTTTAATTAGGTTCACTTTTGTATAGGATCCGTACTGGCCAGAAGATAAATTGCTGTGAGCACATGTTTAGTATGGAACTCTGTCAGCAACCTGAGCGTTGAAATTCATTCTTGTTGATGGTGATCGAGACGGCTACGTTCTTGTATAGTTCCACCAAACACAGCGGAGGGATTCATCGATGACTGATTTACAGACAGGGAGCTAAAGTTTAACTGACCGAATGTTTGCGATATCCGGATAGTGTTCAACGGCTTGAAACTTAAGTAGACAACATTTGTATAAGGCAAAAAGTTCTGATACTCCGTCGGTCGCTATGATTTATTCAGTTTCCCCCTGAGCTACAGCTCGAAACCTTGTTGAACCTGCTCCCCAGCCCATTGCAATCTATCTAGCGCACTTACGTTATCCGAGCTGTAGAACGGTACTGTCAGTAATAGTAATCAACCTAGCGTAACGCACTCATTTGCATACTAATTTGGTTTCGCGAGAGACTCACCTGGAACCCAGCTGGATATCTCGTTTGTGATGTTTCCAGGCAACTGAATGTGCTGCATCAGGCCGTCTCATGAGATATCGCGATACATGTATATTTGTAATGCACTACTCATATGGTTTCTGAAAATTCATCGACAGCCCACGACCGGTTTCCGTCAACCTTATTGGTTTCAAGTAGAACATAAGGTTGACGGAAATTTGGGGACTGTGCCTACGTGATGAGCGTGACGGCGAAACCGGTCGTGGGATGTGGACAACGTAATCCACCTACTTAAAATTAGGATTAATTGCGCATGACATCGATGCTCAAAATTCTTTGTAATGGAGTCCAGAAAATGAATAAGCGAAAATAACGGGGGCTAAGTTATGGGTGTACCGTTTCTTTGAGGCATCTGATCACTGCCAGAATTATAGATTAGCCGTAAGGTCACTTCTGGACTCATTTCTTGGTTATATATTGGTTATATATATATTTACACAGGTATACGGACAAAATGTGTCGCAGTGCTGATTTGAAAAAAAAGAATCCCAAACAGTTTTTATCCCCAACCGAAAAACTGTCATCTGCACCGCAGAATGGGCGTCACAAGAACCAGTGACGCCAGTCCAGGGAACATCTACTGCCAACCGATACACAAATTTTATAGAATTATTCCTCCACTGTTTGGTTTTAAGGGCTCAAAAGCAGTTTCCGTGTGGCGGACGATGCAGAGGTGAAGAGTTTGATTTTCAGAAACTTTAGAGTGCTGTGTGCGCTGCAAAAATTGTTTTTGGAGGCATGGAAGGGTACCTACAACAGAGAGATATGATGGTGAACATTCAAGAATGACTTGCCAGACGGAGTGCGCTGTTTTCGGGGCCCACCTGTTCCAGCCTGTCCCTCCTCAGGGGAAAGACAGCATCGCTGCTTCCACAATTAGGAACATGCTGGTCGCTTGAAGGTAACACCCTCCTGCCTTTAAGCTCCTATCACAGAAGGCCCCAAGACCGTTTCGTAGGACGAATACTTGGTTCTTGTTAATCTTGGTCCAAATGTTTCTTTTAGCCTTCCTAGCATGGTTGCAACTTGTGGAACAAAGTTGCAGCCAGTGAAAGCCCGCAGGACCATTGTAGCACCACGCTAAGATGGTATCTTTATGTCGGGATGGCTGCTGATAGCTACTCACCGTCCGAATTGCTATGCCTAGCATTTTCTTAGTGGACAGCACAGATATGTGTGTACTTGAATAGGAATTCACTTAAATTGCATTTGACGCAGTAGTAAACAGTTTTTAGTCCGTGATCAGGATGGATTTATTCGTGATTTGTAAGATCTCGTTACCGCCAGGCTTAATAAGGAAGATACACAGAGGATTTTTGCCAACCTGTGATGTGTCTGACCTGTGCTTGAGGCTGTCAGTTGAGTATTTTTGCTCACTGTTCAACTTTTAAAGGCGATATGTAACCGCGGATCCCGAAGAGCTATGAAGACTGTGTTGTCAGCGTTTGTACATAAATATGCATCTTTATGGATTTATTCGTGATTTGTAAGATCTCGTTACCGCCAGGCTTAATACGGAAGATACACAGAAGATTTTTGCCAACCTATGATGTATCTGACCTGTGCTTGAGGCTGTCAGCTGAGTATTTTTGTTCACTGTTCAACTTTTAAAGGCGATGTGTAACCGCGGCTCCCGAAGAGCTATGAAGACTGTGCTGTTAGCGTTTGTACATAAATATCGCATCTTTCTGCACATGTGGTCACGATTTCTTCTGTTTTTCTCTGTCACAGAAATGTACCTTTTGGAACTCCCCACCGAGCCGACCACAACCGTGACCCCAGCACCATCCGCAGATTTCTATGACTACACTTATGAGGTGGAAGAACTTGTCCCACTCGCGGGCCGAAGCTATCCACCAAACCCGATGTACCTCGTCTCTGACCTATATGTTCCAATGCAAGGTGACCTAAATCAAACAGAATCCCAGGGTATTGCATGGGAACTGGCTTCGGAGAGAGACCTCTACCAGTACCGGATTGCGGATAAAAATGGATACGCGAAAGTACGTTCCCACGACAAATTGTTTTGTTTCGTTACTTTGGTCCAGTCATACTTGCGACCCTAAGTGAGGTGGTTGCACTCAGCTGTCTACTACCGGGTAAGCGGTCAATAAAAATAGCAAAATCTCGCATTCTATATTCCACTCGTAGTAAGGCTCCAGTTGATGACAGTGTGCTTCATTATCAGTCAGCATGAGTCAAAGATTCTCACTGCGATAACCATAAATTCAAATGGAGTCATTTGTCACACATACAGGTCATTGATAAGCGGTAAATTTTTTGTCTTTTCTGATAGGGTCTCTATAGGTGGTATCCAAACCGCATTTTTAGAATGAGGGTAGCGAAATTGAGGGAAGGGATTGTGTGGGAAACCAATGGGGGCCCCGGAAAAATTGCCACAGTACGTTTCGAATTCGACTCGTTTTGCACGTGATTCGAGACCGCAACTGACCAAGATTTGATTGTGTAACTTTACCACGTGTTGTCTATTCATGAATGTATTTAGCTTTCAGCGCGTCAGTTAATAAAGGAAGATTTTCGGATGATAGTAACGTGAGAATTTCTCCGAGTGGATACACTAGCCTGCACGCTGTTAATGTAAACTCATGTACCGAGGAAAGAAACTGATCCGGTTGCCGCAGGTGCATGCTTCAAGCTGACAAACCGGATCAACTTATTCTTGTTGAGACTGAGGGGAGAAGTTGTTACACTTGAGTATCCAGATGCTAGAACTCATGGAAACATAAAGGGTTTTGTGAGTAGCTGATCAAACGCGTACTATCGTTTCAGTTCACATTCAGTTCGTTTACGTCAGCGTGATAGTCTGTAAAAGATTGGGTAACAACTTTACGGCATCTGTCGCATTCAGTTAGGTAATATTTTTAAAAAATGTAAACAGCTAGGATTTTTAGGGGGTATTTCGGATATCGCTACGATTTAGGCAACAGTGCATTTATGTACATTTTTATGGGGCTGATAGTAAAAGACCTGGCCCCCGAGTGACTCCTAGATGAGACTGTCCCAAATTTTGCAGTGCTTTTCATCAGACGCCTAAATGGTTATCCTGGGAAATAGATCAGACTTGGGACGACAAACAACCGAGTAGCCAGAAGGAGTAACACGCATTGGTAATTGGTTCGAGCCAGCTTATTTGACGGTTTATTGATGAAACTTCTAAATTTATACAGTATCTCAACCAGTTTTGCCGGTCTATCGTTCGACATCAGGTTATCCGTTAAGGGTAAGGTTTACACTGCTGTGGTAAGCTCCCATTATTATACGGGTCGGAAAGCTGACCTCTGAGCGCCGAAAACGTCAAAAGACTTTGAGTGCTTGACTGTCGATGTCTTCGGATAATTTTTCGGGTCACCTACTGCGTATCCATTCGACCGACGTCCTCGCAAGACTTTTTTCACACAATGGCGCACTCCTAGATGAGACTGTCCCAAATTTTGCAGTGCTTTTCATCAGACGCCTAAATGGTTATCCTGGGAAATAGATCAGACTTGGCACGACAAACAACCGAGTAGCCAGAAGGAGTAACATGCATTGGTAATTGGTTCGAGCCAGCTTATTTGTCGGTTTATTGATGAAACTCCTAAATTTATACAGTATCCCAACCAGTTTTGCCGGTCTATCGTTCGACATCAGGTTATCTGTTAAGGGTAAGGTTTACACTGCTGTGGTAAGCTCCCATTATTATACGGGTCGGAAAGCTGACATCTGAGCGCCGAAAACGTCAAAAGACTTTGAGTGCTTGACTGTCGATGTCTTCGGATAATTTTTCGGGTCACCTACTGCGTATCCATTCGACCGACGTCCTCGCAAGACTTTTTTCACACAATGGCGCGAAGGGTAGAAACGAGCCGGCATAGGTCAAAATATGACTTGGCGAAGAAGTCTGAAAGTCATTGCCAGGAGACTGTTTCACTAATCATTACCGTTTCCCTGGAGGGAGACTCCTAGATGGGACACATCAATGTTTAGAGGCATGGTCAGACAGTCGCGCCCTCAATGGCGCTCGTGCATTCAAGCTATCGCCTTCAGTGCGTACCTCCTTTCCCACTCTGCCATAAAAGAAGTCCACTGATAAGCCTGTACTTACGCATCAACGGTATCAGCTTCCCCGCCTCCCCAAGTCATAGATGAGCGATTCTGTGGCAGCTAAACCGTTGCGCAACAAGTACGCGCTGATGATCTTCGACAGGAGTCGTCAAAGAGTCATCGTAAAATTGTATGCGAGGTCTTTTCGGGACTGTTGCACATGGCTGCAACAAAGCCTTCTTGGCACTTACGGGGATTGTATTCTTGGGAATTATAGGGCAATCGGTACACTGGCGAGAAAGCCTAAGTGGTAAAAGTGCATCAGTCTGTTTATTTGTGTCGTTCGCGGACTTAAAAATTACTGAATTGTGTAATAGGGAGCTTGCGAATAAAATATAAGATAATGGTTTTACGTGAGTGAATTAGAGGCTGCTTTAAATCGCTTTTTGTAGCAAATTTTGACCAGGGTTATTCTAGGGTTGTGAAAACGTTCGTGAAATCCCTTCTGACCAATGTGCGGTTCGTAACATATTCACTTGTTTTTGAATCAACCCCTTTTCATAGCTACATAAATTTGAGCAAAAAAGCTGTCCTGCCGAATTGGATCTTTGTACCAATGGTCTGTCATTTGGCGTGTGGATGATTATACCAACAACCTTGGACGTCGAGCAGATAGCATTGGACATTCTCGAACTAGTCGATGGCTTACGTTTGACCGTTTTCAAGCAGACATTGAATCTCTTTGGTGAGTGCTAATTAGATGAGGAAAAGAGTAGATTCCATTTTTGTGAAATATCTTCAACTGACTGGTTGGAATGACTCAGCTGATTGACAAAAGTTCTGCAGTGAGAAAATTGAGTCACATCATTTCTAACTATGAAACTGAATGCTTGTTTCAACGACGGAACGTGGGATGCATACAAAGAGACTTCAACGACGGAACGTGGGATGCATACAAAGTGTAAGACCACTTTATACGCATCACTTGCTCAGTCTCTGGTTTCGAATAGACCGCAATATACCTCAGCTTATGTTGATGTGTCCCAAAAGTAGGAACTTGAAGTCCATACTGATAACTGTAAGGTGACATATCTTGCGTGATGGTAACGTCTAGATTGGTTGTCCCCAACACAATATCTTCTTTAGCGAAATACACTTATTTGTAAACAAATTTGGTTCTGTGAGAGACTCACCTAGAATCCAGCTGAATCTCTCGTTTGTGATGTTTCCAGGCAACTGAATGTGCTGCACCAGGCCGCCTCATGAGTCTCTTGCAAAACGAAATGTGTTTACGAATGAATGTATTTCGCCAATTTCGTGCAATTTGGGCTCAAGTGGAACATAAGGTTGACGGAAACTCGGGGAGTGTGTCTGCCTGATGGGCCCCAAGAATCGTGAAACTGGTCGTGGGCTGTCAAAGAATTTTCAGCAACCTTATGAGTAGTATCTTCCTTACTTCATGATATACCACACACTGCTAACGCGTGCAAAAAATCCTCAATTTTTCACTTTCCAGCCAAAGTATTATTTTTCATTGCACGCTGTTGCTGTAGATAAACGACTCAATACCACTGTCACTGAAGAGGAAACGTCGGGAAGACAGGGATACCAATCGTCACCTTTTGTCCGGTAGTTATACATTATTCGACTTCTGTCGACCACAACACAAAATTTTCGATCTGAAGAAAACAACACGATGCTTGCTATTCAAATAGTTCGAGTTGGAGGAATAATTTGAGGTGTCCCCGCAACTTGTCTACACGTAACGCACTAATCATAAGGTTGTTTAACACTCGTCGATAGCCCACGACCGGATTCATCCTCCTTGTGTGTCATCAGGTAGGCTCAGTCTTCGAGTTTTTGTCAATTTCATGTCCCACTTGAACCCAAATTGGACTGTTTTCGAGAAATACACTCATTTGTAAATAAGTTTGTCTTCCACAAGAGACTCAACTGAACCTCCTTTTTGTGATGTTCTTCAACTGAATGTGCTGCAGACAGAGCGCCTCGTGTTTCAGTTGGCACGATATTCGCAGTATATCGCAGTATATTTTCATAAAGGAAACTGCTCACAAGGTTGCTGAAAACTCTGCGACAGCCCACGACTGGTTTTGCCCTTTTTGGGGCTCATCAGGTAGGCGCAGTCCCCAAGTTTCCGTCAACCTTATGTTTTACCTGAACCCAAATGCAGGAAATTCGACGGATGCGCTCAGTTGCAGCACATTCAGTTGCCTGAGAACATCACAAACGAGAGATTCAGCTGGATTTCAGGTGAGTCTCTCGAAAAACCAAATTAGTTTGCAAATGAGTGTATGTTCGCTAATTCCGTGCAATTTAGTTTCAAGTAGGGCATAAGGTTGACGGAAATCCGGGGACTGCGCCTACCTGACGAACCCCAAAAAGGGCGTAACCGGTCGTGGGCTGTCGACGGATTTTCAGCAACCTTATGAGTAGTACATTACAAAGATATGCATACCAATTTCTTTCTCAGCTGAATCTCTCGTTTATGAGTATTGTTTTCAGTTGGTAGGATATTTGAGGTATCATAATACATTGTATAGGCGTAGTACACAACTCAGCGGTTACGGTCATTTGATAAACCCTAATAAGTAAGAAAAACCGGTCCTGGGCAGTCGGAGAGTTTCCGGCAACCTAATGAGTAGTGTGTTACGTGTGAACATTGTACTGCGGTCTATCGTATGTCGTACCCAAATAAAAAGTGAGGTGGTCTTGTGACACATCCAGTTATTGGAAAGCCCTTTCATAAACGAAAGATTCAGCTGGATTCGGTTTACTCTTCCGTCAAAACTAAATTTGAACGCAAAAGTGGGTAGTTGGTGAAATCCTAGGCCTTATTTTTTGTTTGTCCAGGGAATATCGCAACATAATTGTGCTTTCATTATCACAATAAAAAACCAAAGTAAAAGTGAATTTAGTGCCATTAATTTATTACGTGCTTTTTGGCGCGTCAGCGCGCTTTTCACAAGAAGCTTTGAGTAAACACCATTTTGTCCCTAGTAAAAAATCTATGTCCCAGCGAAGTGGGTTTCTGATCTGTCGAGATATTCTGTCATCGGACAGATGCAGTTAAACAGCAGGTAGCCTGTACGTAGAGGGAAAGGATCTCTGTTGCTGGTTTTCTAGTCATCATGAAACAAACAATCCTCCCCTCAACTACATTTATTTCAGCTGTTTTCAATCGGACGACCAGTGCATTTCGCATCGTGGAAGTAGTTCCTCGGGATGTGTGGTTCAACTTGGGAGTTTCCATAGCAATTCAGAATGCAAATATGAACGTCAGGGCTTATTTCAATGGATTGGAAGTACACGTGTTGCCAGTTGCTGCGCCACCAAATCGCCAGCAGTTTAGGTCCGGAGAATTCAACCAGACGCTCTTGATCGGAAGTTACGCCGTGGACAACTCAGCTGTTGATGTCGCCCTAAATGACTTGATTTTCTGGTATCGTTCACTGGCAGATTTTGAGAGTCATCGGTTTGTGGGCTACGAGCGTAAGTTTGCTGTGATATGTTTTCATTTCCCGCAAAATTTAGCAACCTATACACCTACTATAACTCGGTTTTTGAGTTTTGATATCCTCCATCTTTGAAATGTTTCGTTACTCTTAATCAATCAGTAATGTTGATAATAATGATGATAATCAATATGAAGATGAGACAGAATTACGCCCAACTGCTAACTAAATTTGGCAATTGATTTTATGTGACGGGAACACAGATTAATGCGCAGGACAGAGAGAAAAGTGTCGCAACATTACTGATCTCTTCTTGAGTTATGCCATTTTGGTCAATCAAAACAACGTGTGCGGAATTCAGCAAGTAGATTTCATGTAGTTACTGACTCCACCTTAAGGTGGCACGTTGTCAAGACATGGCTTATTCGGTTAAAAGGATATTCTGACTCAAAGCTGTCAATGAGTGGCGTACATCAGCAATTTTGTGGCCTATCTTAAGCAAGCAATTCTTCCGTCGCTTCATTCCGTGGACGGCACGTTGACCCAGTCGATCAACATCAGCGTTAGCAATCAGGTTGCGAATTGTCTTTTGTTGTGACAGCGAGGTTTCAAAGAGCGTGGTGGGGAAAGGACTGTCTTTAACGGTAGTAGCATTTTCAAGCTACTGTCACTCAACACCGTTCGACGATGTAGCTAGTCGAGATAAAACCGGTTTGAATGGTCGATAATATTCGCCCAAATTCTTCGCAGTAAGCAAGACCAGTGCGTGGGGAAGTCGCTAGCTTCGGCCTGATGAAGTTACATTCTTGAAACCTGAACAACTAAGCAATAAAATGAAGTTCACCGGTTCTCATTCACGGGCATGCCTTCTTAATCAGGTTAAAAAGATGGCGACATGAAATTACATGAATATCGAAACAACGGGGATCGAACCAACCTTTCTGGTCTGCAACAATGCACAGTAAAATGGGAATCTTGAGGATAATTAACCAAAATCACTTTTGTACTTTTTGAGTTCACGTGCATACAAATATCATAAGTAATGAGAAAAGGCCAGTTGATAGAAGAGTCCTAACATTCCGACTCTCTGTTATTCAAAACGTCCGAAAACCGCTAGTTCACCTTGTTAGGTGACATAATTCGGGGGATGTGGCATTCGACAAAGGAGTGATGGTAAGATACTCACCTATGAGCAGGGTAAGGGCCTTCAGGGCTGTAGAACTAACCAGAGTGATTCGCCCGGACAGGATTACTGTGTGATTTCGATTATCAGAAAAGGTGGAAAACTGATCGAACTGTGTATGCAGTTGCGTAAACTTTGCCAAGTGAAGTGTGGACATGTGGAACTAGTGAATGTGCAAGAAAATAGCTTGGAAACTCGGTGGCGGTCAGCTGCATATAGGAACAAAAAGTTCATTGTCTCCGATCAGGCGTATGTCAGTTTTGTGTCTCTCTCCAAGCAATATAAATCTTTGTTAAAACTGACTAGACTGCATACCTGTTCCTCTTTTCTGCGTCCAGGAGTTCAGCTGGATCAACTGCAGGGTTCATCTTACTACTGGACTCCCGACCTGTACATCGTCAGGGATAGTGCATCACAACTCAGGGTTCGACGCAGATACAGCTACTTCACAAGCGTTGAGTCCATTTCGGACACTGGGGTTCAAGGCTACGCCCTGGCCTCGCTATACAAGCCACGTGGAGTCAATTTTCGTTTTTCCACCACAGATTACATGGGAAAGTCAGCTGTGCCTATCTTCGATATGCAAGCAGGCCAGTACATGTTGCTGGGTAAGGAATAGTTGATTTAATTGAATGATGTCTTTCTGTTCTTTGATTTAAAAAGTGAACTGCAACAGCACAACAGGTATTCAATTAAATGATCTTTGCTTTCGTTCAACTTAATATGTGTACGAATCATCAGCTGTCGAATTATTTCACATCACTGGTTTTCTAGGTCGTTCTAAATCACCTCAGCACACAACGTCAGATCTTCTCTGGTTAGGGCAGTGCCTGCTCGACCCAAGTGAGGGTACCTGTGGTCTCCGGGGATTTGCAATCTCTTTCTGGATAAAACTGATCTCAGTCAGTGAGAAGCGTTTGCGTTTCTACTTGAATTCTGGAGATCCTGGAACTGGTGGCTTGACCTTGATTGATCATCGTGGTGTGGCCATATTCAGTGACAAGACGCTGTTTGGTGTATCACTTTCACAGCGGTTCACGTCGTGGAGATTGCTGCTTGATTCAACTAGTTATACTTTGGGTGAGTCAGATCTACAAACCGATGTAATAACTAGCCACAGGTGGTCGCCTACCTTACCATGTGATTTGATGCCTCTCAGCGATGTGAGCTTTGGATTGTGGTTTACCTTTGACCTATACATGATTTAGAAATCGACTTGGCGTTCGTCAAGAAAACTTTCCCTAATCAGTCGACGGGACACCATTTTCACATTGTTGATTATGGTTCTGTGTCCCAAGAGTCGGCATTTCAATGTGGTCTCACGACTATCCTGTTAGTCACACTTGATAGTTCCTTTGGAAGGTACATCCCCCAGATCGAGTGACGGTTTAATGGTTTGTGTGTTTGTTGAGGATGGTCCTGTTGTGAATGATTTCTTCTGCTTAAATTGACACGAATAGCTTGTTTTAACGTTGTATTCTTGGTGTGGTATGACCAATCGTTTGACCAGAGGACTGACTAACCAAGTACACTGAAGTGAGTACGTTTACTTGTGTTTTTTGGTTTTATCATTAGGTTTGATAAACGTCTCGTGAATGAAGATGTGCAGTTTTGCCCGTACGGTAGGCCAGTCCTAACGAATCATGCCACGCATGGATCTCTAACAAGGGAATAACGGATAGCCAGCTAGGATATCGAAGTGGTCGGCGGGAAAACGAGACAGATCTAGAAATAGGCAATAAAATAACGGCAGAATTTTCGCTTTAACCATGAATGGGATACACCAGATATATTCCTAGAAGTCTTGTAAGCACACACCACTGAGGGGTTCAGAATTGAACAGCAGTACATTAATTCTTCGTATCTGGCGGGATGAATTCGACGCATAAAAGTTATCAGCATTTTTATCCTATTTACTCTTGAACAAACCAACATCAGTGGGGGGAACAAGATATTTGGCGCCTTTTTCAACTGAAAATATAAAAGAGTTGTTATTTATTATCAAAGTAACCCAGAGACCTCTAGATCCTTGATGTGACACAGGTCGCGTCCAAAAACGTTCTTGAGAGTAGCCTCACACCATAGGTGTGAAACTATGAAACCTATAAAATGTCAAGATATTTGATCATACTGTCTGCGTAGTGAAGTAGGCGTCAACTGGCCGGAGTATTTGTGGAATGAGATGGTCCGCAAGTAAGTATTATGTGTTAAGTCAGATTCGCTCGAGCAGCGGACAGGATTTATCAGGTTAAAATGATTGTGGCATGCACCAGTGCGGTATTGTGGATCCTCGGTAACCAAAGAAAGTATTTTCATGCAGGATACTACTCACAAGGTTGGTAAAAAACTCCTCGACAGCCCACGACCGGTTTCGCCCTTCTTGGGGCTGATCAGGTAGGCGCAGTCCCAGAGTTTCCGTCAACATTATGTTCTACTTGAACCCCAATTGGACTGTTTTCGAGAAATCCACTCATTTGCAAATCAATTATGAAATACTGCGATATCTCGAATATCGTGCCAACTGAAACATAGGGTGGCCCGTGTGCAATGCATTTAGTTGTAGAATATCATAAACGAGAAATTAATTTGAGTCTCCCGTGAGTCTCTCGCTAAATTGATTTACAAATGAGTACATTTCTCGCAAAGAAAGTATTGTTTTCCATCCCACACCCTTGTTGGCGAAGAATTAGCGGATTAGTTCGCTACGACATGGCAGAGCGAAACTCCACCTTGAACCTTTTGAGATCAAGCCTTCCTGGAGAGAGACCTTGCATGTCGTGGACAACCGCACGGATAATTGCACAGGACAAACCTCACTGGCGAGTTCGTCGTCTCTTTTTGGGTGGACTCGCTAGCTAGCCCTTGACTGCCGCTGTAAACTGACCTTGTATTAGGTGATGCTCGCAACAGACATTGTGTCAGCCTCATTGATGGCTGACGGGATGATCCAGCAGGATGATGCGATGTACTGGAAGATGTGGATATCTTGCTCTTGGGCATTTTCTCCAGATCCATAGGTATTTTTGCACTAAGTCCCAAACTCTTCTTGTTCATTTCATCATTTATTACAGCCTTCTCCCTCCATGAGTGGTGTATGGCAGTTAGACACCAGTGTTTAGAAACAGAAAACTCAGAATGTCGGGTAGCATACTGCTTGAGTCTTTCCCAATGCTTTTTCGGTTTCTAAAATAAGGCTTCACGTTATTTCAAATGAACGGGCTATAGGCAGGAATTGCTGGACAGCTCGATGAAGTCCCCATGATTTTGCAGGCTGTTGTGTTCATCATGACGATTTGATTGCAGGGTGCTTCATCAAGATGAACTGAATAAACTCAAATCCGGTTAATGAACAGTCTTGTTAAGCATTTACTTGTGGATAGAAATGACGTTTAAGTCACACCGCATACGGAACCCGTTCAGAGTGCAAAGTTTACTGGTCCTCAGTAAGCAGATCGCCATTTTGAGACTGTTTCCATGCACGATGTTTCAGTTATCCACTCAAGTTGGTGTTTGCTACCTCCAGTTCATGATGAGCTGAGACTTTCATTGTCCCTGGTCCATAGTTAATATGAAGCATACTCCTGGTATCTACGTGTACTCCGGTTGCATCAGGCGGATGGAGTTGTCCCTCAGAAGCGAGTACCAGTCGCTGGCTTCTGGGGTTCTGATTTCTTTCGAGGTACAAACGAAGATGTCCTCCAAAACCGAATGGAAAGGAATGAAAGCTGCCCATCTAGGTTTTTAATTAAAGGAGTCTGGATTTAGCAGGTTTTGTTTTTGTACCCACAGAGACGCTATCAAGCATTGTTTCATACGTGGGAGTGAAAAATCAGCAAGGTTTGACCAACGTATGACCACCGGTTCCACACTGTTTGGCAATAATCATTTGTTTCTGACCTCTTTGTTCTCCACAGGTCAGTGGACCAACGTTGGCATTTTGTGGCGTGAAGACGTTGGACTGACACTGCTACTTGATGGCGTAAACTACGGAACAACGGATGTCAAAGGAAGCAAGATATATAGAGCACGCGTGGCCTCTCCTTATGTCGTTCTCGGTCGCTTTAATGTGGATGATAAAACAGCCTGGGTGTCCCCACGTGATGCGGATACCATAAGGGAACAGTCTGGAGACCGACTAAATCCGAGCTGGGAGATGGCCAATTTCGTTCTGGGAGAAGTGACATACTTCAACAAATTGATGACCCAGGAAGAATACAACACTCAAATAGGTCTACTGGGAGTGGCAAGGTTTCGCAAATTTTTGGGTGACCTCTGGTTTGGAAAAAATCTGATTGATGCTCCAATCAGTCAGTTGCATGCAGCCACTCAAGCCAAAATAGAGAAGCCTGGTCCGGTCCGGTCTACCAATCCCTTCTCAGCCGTTAATTTCTTGCAACAGCCTGATGCTGTTGAACTGATAAATGGGACGAGCATACGACTGGGTGTTTTCGACTCAACACATTGTACCAGACAAGAAAATTTCTGTCCTGAAGTAAGACTGTCTTCCCACTTGATTACGGAAATCAGGAGACTGAACACAATGTTTTAAAGAATAAGATGAAATCGCACGTCCACTCAAATTCTATCAGAATCAGTTTATGGAACAAGTCTGGCCACATACCACATCTTACTGTGGCACAACTCTGTTGCTACTATTATCTTGTCATTCTCAATTCTTGTAAAAATCAGTCTCATATGGTGTTCACTGTTCATTTCACACGACGGACACTATGATCGTGAAAAATTCAAATGAATCGATAACGGAATGAGCACACACAGAATGATGCGTGTCAGGTTATCTTGATCGATGAAAGGGCTTGGGCGTGCAAACATGTTTCTTTCCTAATAACCCACCCGTCATTTTCGAAGGGTCCAGCCTCAGCTGGTTGAAGAGTGAATGCCTTCACCCGGTAGGCGTCATTCTAAGAGCGGTTGAATTACAAACTTTGAGAGACCTTGCTACAAATTCAACCCTTTTTAGCCCCTCAACTGCTCGTAATGCCGTCGTTTAAAAGACACCATTTTGGAGCCCACGTAGCTTAGAACTAAGCAAGATCTAGGAGTGTAGTTGTATCAGTGAGGTGGTACTTCGTTACATTTTGTCCATTTTTAAAAGAACACGATTTATTACTACTATTCAATACCTCATACCGTTTTCGTTTCAGGGCCTCAGTATTGGCGCATGGGTGCGATTCAGTGGTCTTTCGGCAAATAACAAAGCAGATCTCATAGTTTTATTCACCGGTTCTGGTGGCAAGTTTGGAATGGCTGTGAGCACAACGGGGGAGGAATTAGGCGTATGGATGAGTGACGAACTGGGTGATGATGACCCAACCAAGAGCTGGGTTTGTACAACCAGGGCAGTTAACCTGGGGAAGGTCACAGTGAACATGCAATGGATTCACTACGCATTGGTATGGGGTCCGGCACCAGGTATGAGTGAATTTCTTCTCCGTTTGATTGTGAACGGAAAAGAGTATGCGGTCTGTTCACATGGTGAGAATATCGATGGTACGGCAGACTGGTACAAAGAAGCAAAAGGAAAAGCAAAGACATTGTACAAGGAAACCAAAACTAACGAAAGTGCTTATATGCTTATCTCTTCTGCTGTTTCGGATAGTCGAGTTGCCATTGCCCTTGTCGCTCTGAAGCCAACAACCGTCGTCGGGTCCGCACTGATGGACTTGATTGGAGTGGAGTATCCGCAGTTTCTGTCAATGCAGATATCTACATTTTACTGGCCATTCAGTGGATTCATGAAGCACTTATCACCAAATCGCCTTACTCCAGTCCGTGTACAGTACGCTCAAGATAAGCAAGACACGGTAATGGGTGCTATGTGCACAGACGGCACAGATCAGTCTTTTGTGGCTATGAGAGGTGACCAAGTGGATCGCTTCGGAAGGAACAACTTGGAGACGGCTTGCTTGATCAACCCGACAGCCTGTGACTCCTATGTGTTCATAATTGACTATTACCACCTGAACGTGTCATTCGGACTAAATGCTTCACGGGAACTGTTCCGCACGGCTCCGCTGGAAGCACCAGAGAACACAGTAGGTTTGAAGATCACTGTTTCAGAGGACGGTCAACAATTGTTGGTTACCGCTAGGAGTGAATTTTACACGTTGATCAACAGTGTGTCAGTGAATAACCTGACGCAAACCAGTAAGTGGATCGAATTAGAAGTGTTCTACACAGCAACAGCTATCAAAATACGCAATGCAGGAATACTTTTGGCTTCAAACAAAGATTCAGTCAAAAAGATCGAGGCAAATCGACCTCTGACCTCAGATGAGCGGTTAAACTTGCGTTTAACTGTCGGCCGGGGACTGCCCGTTTGCGTGTCCGACGTTTTAACTCTGGATGTTCCGAATGGTGAAGACGCTGAGGCGTTGATCAACGGAGGTAGTACAACTTACTGTTATCCGGATGTAGACTATTTGGTGGAGCTCAAAGGCACGGTGTCTGATCACCTCGGACTCCCAAAGGCAGCGGCGAGTATCCAAAGGTTGGTAGAACCACTAGTCATTGAGCAAGCCAACTGTCTATATGAACCGGCTGCTTGTTCATCGGTCACCATTTCCCTGTGGGCGCGTATTGATGGAGTTTTAGACGTGGAAACAGGAGCGGTTGTTGCTGAACATTCGGAAAAAGTGAGTCTCGTATACGGACACTGTGTTTATGATGTACACATTTGATCCAAGCTCGTGTTTCAAGACTTAACTGGCTCCCTTTCGGGTCTGAACCCACGCTATGAACATTGGGATTTCCCCTAACACAACTACTGTGACCCTAATGTGTTTCCACTCACGTATCCAAATGCAGCTCAGCCAGTGGGTTATTCAACGCTCTCAGTGTCATAAAAAGGCGGTGATGTCGGCTGGAGAAGTCATTGTGATTTAGTGTGCCCCCTCTGTCTTCAGATGGATGCGGTGAACGTAAGGGGCCTTCCTTACAGTTGTGTGGGGGCCTGAAGATGTGGTGCGGCAGATGGAACCTCGCCGTACTGACAATATCAAGCGGTCGATCCTGGCAACCAAAGGATCGTCGAAACATCATCTGTATGGACCTACTAGGTGCAGCTGTACGAAGGCTCCAGAACACTAGCTACCTGCAGCTCGACTCGAGAGAGTCTGTGTTCAAGTTTGATGGCTGTCTTCTGCAAGCCTTTGCCACATCTGGACAGTCAGGCATAACTCGGTCAAGTTGTCCCATTGAAGGTAGGATACGAAGAGACTCTGGGTTTTGGACATATGCATGATGATTCGACGACAAGGCAGCTACAATTTTAAACGTTTGTCAATCTGGCCAAACAGTTTCTGATCATGTATGTATGCTCACTTCGCCTCTGATTGGGACGTCTCTTTGTCTTAGTGCTAATATGCTGGGCAGTGAAAACCTAGATATTATCTAGCGTGTACATTTCCTGGAACTGGGAGGGGCAAAACGCATATCGCTTGAACAGTACCTGGAATATGCGTTTCATACTATGGTGCGTAACGCGAACATGCGAATACTTACCCGAACCTGCGGTGGCGATTGTCGAGACAACTGGAATTCCACATCTTGAAACAATTCTCGTTATCAAGGTACATTTTTGCACAAGTCTAACCACATCGATGCACACACTCGTTTCTGAGGCTTTTCGTAACTTCAAAATTCATAAGCCCTGGTTTCAGTTTATTCTCTGGTGTGACGAAAACTGTGGATAGCCAGTTACCGGTTTCTTTCATCAAATGGGCCTAGCCGTGTGCACACCGCACACATACCGGCGTGCACACTGATTAGCGAACTTATTTGATGTTAGCGATACCTACTGAGCGCCCAAAAAGAGTGAAACTAGTAGTTGGTAGCTCAGAATTTTCATTGACCTTATGTTATTCCAGCCGAAACAAGGTGAACTTCAGAACTGTTGATTGAGCAGATACACGGGACCATCAGCTGTCTGTTCCCACATGTATGAAGGACGGAATCAAACTTTGTTATGGTTGCAATTTTGGGGTTTTGCGGGATAGGTATTTTGTTCATAGTCACACCACTCGTTTAAATGGTGGAACTCCTGTTCTGGCGTGATTATTCCAGTGAGTCCACACCAAGGGGAAGCACTGAACTCGAGTCTCACTCTCATCATTATTATCGTTGCTGAAGCACCTCACTTTTTTTTCATCCGTTTGGTACCTGTTTTTTATTCAACCTGTACAAATCTCCATCATGAAGCCTGACTGAAAAAAGCTTCGTAGTTGATATGACTGATACGAATTGGTATAATTTTGGGATTTATTTTGAAAGGTTAGTCTAAAATAAATTTACCGGGCTACAGCGCTATTGAAGATTAAGTCTGTTGGACTATTTGTGTTCATAATCAAACCCAGCTTCATGTTCCACTTCTCATTGTCATAGCTGGTTGTTGTGCTCTTCTCGACCGGACCACCGAAAAAACGCGGAATACTTGTCACGCTACATGGGCGTCATGATGGAGTTGACACCAAACTGGATCTCCGTGCATCGGTGCATACTGGATCCGAGTTGTGGCAAGTGGAGTGTCCTGGGGCCATCACACTGGGACAGTGGACCAACATCGCACTCCAGTGGTATGCATCCGGAGAAACCAAATCAGGTGGCCTGGAAACGTATTTGAATGGGCTACGCCAACAGTCATCTACGAAGCCTCGTGGCATGGTCCAAAATCCAGTGACCGACCCCGCATCGGCAAGACTATACTTTAGCAATGCGTATGTAAACTTACCCGATGCTGAGGCAAACCTGAAAAGGTATACACTGAACGGATCGGTAAATCATTTTGGTAAGTGTTTGAAAACTCTGACAAACCTGAATTAGAAATGTTCAGAAAACATGGGTCTTCCTTCTTTGTCGGTCAAGCGTAAAGATGGTTCGCTGGTGAAATCGCAAACTCAGAAGCTTTTTGCGTTAATGTAAGGGTAGAAGGCGATGACAGTCGAGTAAGAACACAAGCAAATCAGCAATCAAATATCTGATACCTTATTCATTGTTGATAGAAAGCAAGGACTAACAGGGTTAACCGAAAATGGAAGAATATGGTGGTTTGAACAGGCACACCATGCATCAATTTGAGAGAATGAACTGTTTGGACAGACAACATCCGTTTGGGGACTGGGATCAAATGTGATCTACACTGTTGTTTCGAGATTTCAACACAAGGGCTTCTTCCTCTATCTTTTGGGGAAACTTTCTTGAGACGCCCCAACCTGCGGCGCCGATTGATGTTTCATAACCTATTGTTTTCAGTTAGTTGAAGCTTTCAAGGCGGTCAGAATGTCCCTTCGTTCATCCGATTACGAAGGAAATAATATTTTTGCCATCACTCGGCAGATGCTGGTAACCAACCAGCACCCGAATGCTTTGAAGCCTTAAGTCTCAACCATTGTAGTTTTTGCAGCCGTCATTCTTTGCGCTAAAGATTCCGAGGCTGGATACATCCATGTTTTGAGGCATTCAACTGCGTTCGTGCATTTGAGCTGTCGCCTTGCATGCGCACCCAACTTATCTCAGTTTCTGTCCTCAATGCAAAGTGAGTTTACCTAATCACTTGACAGTATCTCTCCGATGTACTCACCAGCAGTCACTACTGATGCATAGTCTTGAACATCGTGCGTGAACTAAAACTGAGTGGATAAGACAACTGCATGACCTTGGAATGATATACGAACGTGCTACTGTTGCTGATGATGGAGTGAGTGTTCCGATTTGGACGGGAGACTCAGCTGAATCCTAGCTGAATTCCTTGCTTGTGGTATTTTTGAAACAAATATGTCACTCATAGGCCACCGAATGTTTCAATTGTCAGATATCTCAGTATAGTTTCCTGAAGAAACACACAAAACTCGTCAGGTTGCGGAAGACTTTTCAAACGCTCATGACGGTTTTCGCCACTGTTGGGTTGCAGCAACCGAGTTTCCTTCCACTTTCACAAGCAGGAGATGTAGCTGGAATTCAGTTGGATCACCCGTTGAAACCGAATTGGTTTGCTATTGCGTATGTTTGGGGGATTTCATATGACGACAGTCAAAGTAGAGTAGAATCTCGGTAATTTCTACCTACCCTAAAAGCCTCAAGAAGGGTAGATATCTTAGACTGTTGAAGTTATCTTAGCAGGATGTTGCGTCAAGAAAAGGCAAGTTATACTGGACATTTGGAAGCACTGAACTGTGTATTCACGCTGCTCGTTCAAACCAGTACCGATGCGCACATCTGGTTCCAAATGCGGAGAGTGGGTAGGTGAATAGTTAGCCTAATCACTACTCACCTACGTCACTTTTTTCAGTTTCAAACATATGGTGATCATTATTACTAATATCTGTGGTAGTACTAATGCTGCAACGGGTATTTCGTTCGTCTTCTGAGTAGAACCAAAAGCAGTGAATTTCTTGAAAAATAAGACAGCCCACTGAAAACGAAAGGCAAGCGTCTGACAACTTCCAGTGTCAAAGCTGCGTCCGAAAGTATCTCACAGTACAACTAATCTAGACACCAAGTAGAACCGCCTTGCGTAGGTGTTTCATCTGTAACTCAGTGACTGACTCTCTATGTCAGCAGTTTACGGATGGACTTATAGCCTTTCGCGTGCCAAAATTCCGAGCGTATCGGAAGGATGGGAATACAGTGTTCTGTGTAGAAAGAGCTAGCGTGGGTGCGGTTCCATCTTTAAAGAAATTGCCCAGATTCTCAAGTTTGTGCAGCAGCCCAGTAATTTTCAAAACAATCAGATGAATTCGAAGAAATCTGTTTGTTTGCATCTTGAGGTAATTCCTTTGGAATCATAACTGTCCAAAAACACAAGTGACACCAAACTGGAAATCCTATTGAAGCGCGAAGTGTACATTTGTTGGCAGAATGGAGCCGTTGCTGTGAGTCCTTCCTCGACGAATCTAAATCGGTCTGGTTTCATTTTTGCTACTTACTGCTTCATTTTCATCAATTTGTTTGATGAGTTGGTTTCCGCTGCAGTCGCACGAGGCCTAATGCTAAAAAACGTTTCCATTGATGGTCCCAAGTCATCTGTCGTATCCCAGATAGTAGGATGGGAGGCAGTGTGTGGAGTTCCAAGATGTGCTTACCAGTGACTGGCACATTTTGGATTCAAGTCTGTTTGAAACCGGCCTAAATTGTCGAAATGTTTGGACTTTGCATGATTGGATTTCCACAGTGACTGGGTTGGCGTCTAATACACAGCAAAAACTCCCAAGATAGCTGGTCTGACAATAGAGAATCCAGCCCATAGTGAGGCTAGCTCACACGAGGCCCACTCAAAATGTAATTTTTTTTTGAGGGGGGGGGGATGAAGAATATGCTTCTCAAACTATCCATCTATTTCTCCCTCTATCCATTTATTTATTTATTTATTCATTTATCA